TGGCCCAGCCAGGTTTCAGTAATACATGCCAGGTCTGCCCCCTCATCTAATATTAAGTCCCGGACGAGGGGAGCTTTATTCATCACAGTCCTGGCATTTAGCAGCAGCAACCTGAGACCAGGGCCCTGACTTCTCTTGTCACCAGGTCCTTGAGCTGAGCTTGCAGGGCCGGAACAAGGGATCATTGTGACATAGCGAGCCTTCCTTCCCCGGTAATGGCTAGCCCTGCAGCTCCCGTCATACCTGCCCCTCCCGGTCATAACCAAGATGCTCCGACCCGCCCCCATCCCCGTAGACCCTCCCCCCTCTCCCATGGCCTCCATTCTTCCCGGCAGGCCGCATATACCATTCATTCTAGGACGAGAGGCAGGTCTGGGGCCCCCATCCACTTCTGCTTCTGAATTCAGTGGAGGGGGCCCCAGGCCACACTCTCAGTCCTCTCATGTATACCACTCAAGCACTCTCCTCATACATACCCCACTGTAATCATTAAAACATACAAAATACAATAATACAATAATATAAAATTGGTTCATTCACCTTCATTCACACAACACACACTCCACCAACAGGATAACGCAGATCTTAGTTCCGCCCAGCGGTTCACGCAAGTTCGAAAAGCTAGAAACTAAAAATGGTGCAGGACGGAGAGTTCCTCGTTCTCTCTTCCCTCCTGCAAGTCCGGAAGGTGCAAAAAAGGGGTCCAAAAGGTCCAGAGTCTGGGGTGGCTGAAACGGCTAAAGAGAGGAGGGGGGGCGCTAAATCACCGCCCACGTCTTCACTATTTTCCGTCGTCTCCTTCCGTCGAGGGCATGTAACACAGACAAGCCGCAGAAGCTGCCAGCACGCCAAGAGATCTTCATAATCACTGCAACGGTGGTAATTGTTCGAAGGGTAAAACGGAGGAAAAAAGGTGAAAAAGGCTCCAGCCGGGACCAAAAATGGCGGCCGCTGAGGGAGGTATTCGCCCAATCCCCAGGGGTACCGCTTACCCGGACTAGCAGCGCAGAAAGTAAGATCGTCCAAAGAATGGCGCTGTCTGAGGCGGTACTCCTTGGACAGCAGCAGATGATGGCGGCCGCAGCAAGAGGGGCCAGGTGCAAAGACCCAGGAGCCGAGATCAAAGCAGGCCAAGGGTCGGGCAACGAGGAGCCCCGCAGCGGCGACGGCAGGATAGAAGGCCGCGCCAAGAAGGAAGGAGGGGGGGCGCCAGAGAAAACCAGCCGCCCAGTCCCGACATACATCGTTGTAGAACTCACCACCCCCTTCACGGAACAAAGCACAAACCGCCGCGCCGGCACAGCCTGGCACAAGTCCAACATCTCCCCACGGCAGCGGGGCTGAGATCGTCGCCATCTGCGCAACACCATCACCGAGCAGAGCAGGAGCCACCGAGGATGGCAACACCGTCCAGGAGCCGCCCGAAAGCGGCACCCCCCCAGCTAGTTGCCTCCCTGGATCGTCTGAAAGTTGGTCTCTTGCAAGAACCCCTTTTTCGCAATGTCCGAGGTCTTAGTCCCATAAGCTTTGCTCGTTTTGTTTTCATAAGCCTAAGCGGTAAAGCTTGGCAGCCATTTCCCATCCTTGCGCATGCGTGTTTTCATCAATGGGACAGCGAATAAAGTTCCTCGGGGGAAGGGAAATGAATTTCAGGATGAGACCTTGTCTCACTGTCTGTAGGAGCCAAGAGTCTGTCGTGGTTAATTCCCATTGGGAAGTGAGCTACTGAAGTCACCCCCTGAGGGGAGGCAGCCTCTGGTGGTCACTTGTTCTTACGGAAGGGCCTCTGGGATGCCCCTCCTCGATTTGGTCTGCAATAGGGGTACTGTTGCCTGCCTCTATCCCGAAAGGACTGTCTGTCCTGAGACCGATCGGGAGGTTGGGAGAATGGTCTGTGAAAGGTGGAAGTATTAAATGATGAGCAGTCGCATGAAAGGACTGCCTCCTAAAATAAGGCTGATTCTTCCTCTCCTGCTTTTTGTTACTGGTAGGGAGGACCTTCCTCTTGTCCTTAGATTCGACCAGCACTGAATCTAATGCCTCCCCAAATAGTTTGTCTCCCTTGAAGGGAGTTGCAGCTAGCTCCCATTTCGATTTCACATTGACTTGCCAATGACGAAGCCAGAGAAGGCGTTGAGACATTACATTAGACTCCAGAGCTCTAGACGTGAATTTTGCCACATTTAGGGATGTGTCCACTGGGCTGCTGCAATGATCTTATTCACGTCTTGGCACAGACATGTGTCCTCTGCTAGTAACTTAGACTGTAATTCTCGTAACCAGAGAATAAAAGGCCTAGTAAAAAGAAGGCAAAAGTAGAGGCCTTAATGGCCCAGGCTGCCACTTGGTGGGTCTTGTGGCAAATCTTCTCCACCTTCCTATCTTCTGTTTTGAGACCTTCCATGAGGTTTTCTGGAAGAACTGAATTAGAGGTCAAGGAAGTGACCAGAGGGTCTACAGAGGGCAATTTTAAGATGTTCTCTAAATTTGACTCCACTGAGTAGTTTCTTATCTCCCCCACCAGGGGCAGCCAGGGAACCAGGCTGGATCCACTGGCATTGTACTACGTCCATAAACAGTTCAGGCACAGGAACAAGCTCCTGAGCTGCGGCCTGTGCCTTAAACATGCTGTCTCTGGGGTTGGAGCATACACCCTCCCTCCCCCAACAGCTGTTCCATGCACAGAATCATTTGTGAATAAAATATTTTGGATCCTTAACATGCAATGGTGTTCTCCATTGTGAATGTGCTATTACACATATTGATCAAGCAGCAATGCTTTGTATGCTATCAGTGATCTCACCTGCTATTAGATAAGCTTCTCAATTACTGTATAACAAAAGCTCTGGCTTTTATGACGTGATCTAAATTATTTAGTTGAAAAACATGGAAACTTGTAACAAATCAAACTTCTCAAATATTTGAGGACTATTTTTCAGACATCCCAAATGATGTAGTTTGGAATGAAAATGAAGTAAGGGAAAGATTTCTTTTAAAAAAACACCCTTTTAGAATTCCTTCACTTCATTTTATAGTGATTTATGGTACTGTGTTGAAGGAAAAAATAATGCTAGAAAAAGGCCTAAGAAAAACCTGAAAAGAAAGCCACAAATGCTATTTATGGAATATTGAAAAATAATAAGGTGCAAGAACAGAGAGAAGTAAACCAAGGTGTGATTTACCAATGGAATGGCTATGTAGTTGTATGCATACTTTGCTATGTCCACATGATCCCTCTATTTCATGAGCTGCACTGGTTGTATCTTTCCATATTCAAATCAAAGATGACTATATAGTCATCATCTATATAGTCAACATGGCCTAAGGCCAGGTTGTTTGAAAATCACCTATCTCTCATGGTTTCTACAAATCTGGTGAATGCTGTCAGGTTGATACACACCAGCTTCCTTTGATTAAACAATGCCATCTATTTAGACCCAGTAAATATGCTTTTGCTGGTGCAGCACCTGCGGTCTGATATGAGATTTCTTCTGAAATTCATGTAGATCCCACTCTGTTGGCATTTCATAAGGCCCTAAAACTGTCTGATTGTTCTCCCAGGCTGTGGGTTAGAATGGATGAAGCCTCTTGTTGGATGTGTTTTTGTATATGTATTTATATTAAGTGAGCAATTCCTTTGTTTTGTTTCATATTATGATTAATTGCTTAATATATTGTAAGCCAGCCAGAATCATAAGTGCAAATTATATAATATATATTCAAAGTCTGCATCTACATCTAACAAGGATGTTACTATTTTCTATTATAATGGAAAAGATAGCAAGAGTGAATGCAAAAACTAAAAAAAGAAATTAATTTGTTAACAATGCCTGGGAATGTATTTGGCAAAATTTTAATTCAAAGGACAGGAGGTGATAATGAACCAAACTTGAGAAAAGGAATAAGGCTTTATATAAGGCAGGAAGTGTGCATAACAAATTTATGCTCTTTAGCAAATTACTGAAAAATATACAAATGTGGCAATGGAAATTCATTGTGTATCTTTTGATTTAGAAAACGTCTATGATAATGTGAATGGGTGTGGATTATTAAATGTTTTGCATTAATATGTAATTAAAGACTGGCTGCCGAGTGTGCTAATATGATAATTCAATGGAAATAAAGCCTGAGTTAGAATAGATGGAATGTTTAGCAAATGATTCTACACTAAAAAAATAAGTTTGTGTGATGTTCCCTTAATATGCCTAATATATTTATAGAAAATTGGTGGTTAGAAGTTAGTTGGGGATATAGTTAGCATATGTGTGTTTATATGCAGATGAATGACATCACTGGCTGAATCATTTCCAGCAAATGATTTCCAGGCCTGTACAATGCAACAACAAAAATATGGCTCAAACATGAATCTGAAAATTACTGTATAAAAGTCCAAGGAAATTGTATTTGACAGAGAAAATTGAATAACAAAATACAGGCTATATATAAATGGCAAAAACTAGAGCAAATAGTGTAATTTGATAGAATCATTACTTGAAGATGGAAAAATAAACAGAGAAATTTCAGGGAAATTGAAATAGAAAAGCTTTGGGAATTATATGGTCTACTGCAATGAATCAATGTTTGTCAAAGGAAATGAAAATGATTGTAACAGCATGCTTCTGCCTATTGGAAGTGAAAGATGGGTACATCATGAGAAACACATACCTTTGAACTTGCTTATATTTCAATAGGAAGACTAGGCTAAGTTATTTGGAATTGGCTAACGAGTCAATAAATAAAGTTCCACCAGCCTTTTATTAATTCTATTACTATGGACATTAGCAAGAGAATTGATGTGGGTTGTAAAGAAATATTGAGTATGATTGAATTGTTACTTCTTTTAATGCAACAGATAGCTGTTTATGCAACCAGCTATTGCTCATACTTACTTGTTCCTGCTCGTGGTGAATGAGATGCATCTGGTATTGGAGAATGTAAGGAAGGATTGGCTGGTGACATTCCAGGCATACGTGTTGCTGTAGAGGGACCAGAAACCTGAGGTGAACCTGGCCAATTCCCGGCACGTTGACTGGGTGACATCATTGTGTATGGTGAACTAGGATCTATTGTGCCTGTGAAAATTTCAACATCTTAAAAACAGTTTTCTCAGAGATATGGTAAAAGAATTGAGAAACTACAAGAATATCAGAATGGTATAGCCATAGTCTATCTGAACCTGAGTACCAAATACAATAAAATCTCTTGCCTTGCCTGCTTTCACTGTATCATAGTCAAGAGGAAGTAATTGGGAGTACCCATTTCAATTAATTGCAATTTGTCACACGACATATGAATTAGGAATTTAGGTTTGTTTAAAACTATGTTTTACTGAAAAAGCTAGGAGAAAAGTAAGCTACAAGTTACACTGGACAACAAAGATTTTGCTTTCTGAACACTTTTGGGTCATTAATCACTAAAATTTTTGGCCATTAATCACTAAAATATATTGTAATGTAACTTAGTTTATAGAAATCTTCTGTTTTTACACAATGGCAACGTAGCCCTTTAGGATTGACAATTTGTAAACCAATATTTGAGACCTGAATGCTGCTGTGTGAAGGAACGGACTCTTATCATTTGCTCTAGGCTCCTCCTGACATACAGTTCGAAAGTGTGCAAACATGAATAGATAAATAGGTACCACTTCAGTGGGCTCATTAATGGAGATATCAAAAGAGCCCCAACTGCATGTTCCCTGGACAATGGCAATGTCACTAGTTAATCCCACCACCCAAGAAGCTCCTGGGTGCTTCCAACACAACAATAACAGTGCGTGCTGGCTATGCTCGAGACATGAAAGCAACTTACAAAAACATGGAACTGTTGTTGAAGCACAACAAGTACACCAATAACAACTGGAATATTTGGGGAGATCTGAAAGTAGTGGCTCTACTTTCAAACCTCTAAAGATTTCACCAGGTTGTTGGAACAATGGAAACTATAATCTATCAATACTGGCTGACTACTGTTGGACATTGTAGTGAGATGCATCAGACATTGAGTACAAACAAAAATCAGCAGCAAAACATTTTTAGCCCTGTTGAACTTATGAAGCATGTTGGAAATATGTGATTATTAGATTGTAGTTATTAAAAGTTAATTTCATGTTTCTCAGGATTCCTATGTGATGCAGTCATTTTGAAATTATATTTGTGTTCAGTTTGAAGGGGTTTACCATAATCACAAATGTTTTTCTGGAAACAAAACCTTTGGGGGGGGAAATGTTATCCAGGATTGTTATCTGATCTTAATGAAAACAAACCAGGGACGTGCAGTCACTAGAGGCAGGGGAGGCGGGGCCTCACCAGTCTCCTCAGGAAAAGGAAAGAATTTTAAAGAATTTTTAAAAAATAATTAAAGCCAAGGTAGTTGCTACCAGACTCCAAGTCACAGTGGCTTGGCGTCTGCTTAATGTTAATTATAGGAGGAGGCCAGAGAACTAGGGACCTCCTTTGCATAAGGAATTTTTCGCATTTAAAAGTTAAGCAAGGGTTAAAAAGGGAAAAATTTTGTATG